GACGAACGTATTGATTGGAGTCAGCCGTTCCATTCCGTGTGGTCCGCGACCGCCTCGTGCTCCCCGCCGCATCACTAAATTTGCCGCGAGCTTTTCCGCGCCGCGTCGCACCGCGCTGCGCTGCGTCGCAACGCGGCGATGCGCTATGGAACCGATGGAGCCGCCCCTTTCTGCAAACGCTTCTACGTGAAAAAAGAAATTATTAATATTTTATTGCAAGAGGAAAGAACGTATCGATACATTTTTAAACACATTGCTTATAAATTGAATTTTATATTGCTAATGATATTTTCTGGTGTAAAATTTCATTTTATTACGCGAATGATTGATATCGTTTAAATAATAATTCTTTGATATATTTTATCAATATATTTTATCAAATCTGTTCTTATTTATTGTACGCAATGCTTTGCGTAATTAAATAAAATTTAGATCAGGAACTATCGTCAGACACTAATAGAGTTTATTTTATAAGCCATATGTATTTAAAAGCATATTGATACATAAGTTCTTTTTTTATATAAAATGTTAATAATTTCTTTTTTATACCAGTATAATTTATACCGATATAAATGATTTTGTCTAGATTTAACAACTTTACGCGCGCTGTACTCGTCTAGAGGGTGAATTTCACGCCACTTTGGATGCATTGAGTGAACGTCTCATTGTTTGCAGCGTATGCTCGTCAATTTTTTCCTTTTCTTCGTGTCACCAATGCGCGAACATCTGCGACTAAAGTGCAAAAAATTTACGTAATGATTAATAAATTATGTAACTCTTTAAGGGGGTAGGGTGTGTATATATGTTTTCATCTGTTTTACCGACAAAAGTATCGGGTTGTTAAATGAATGAAATATATCACAAAATTAAAAATCCTTTTTCCATAATTAAAATACATATGTATTTTAAAATACATATCTGACAATCTATTTTTGTATTAAAAACAGAAAAAAATTAATAAATTATAAATTTTCTTATCAATTTTTACTTTAATGGCGATTAAAGCTATTAATAATAATCACAAATTACCGAAACATTACTTTGTAAAATATAGTTATATAGGCCATATGCGCGAAATTAAGATAGAACCAGATGTAGAATAAATAAACGAGTATTGGTGAATCGTAAAATTTAAAACTGGAAACTTAGTTAAAAATATTATTTCTTCTGACAAATCATGTTCTAATAAATCAACAAGCGATATTAATACGATTAGTATATCGTGATGAGTGTATGTCTCATAAATCATATGTATAAGTCGCATTTAATTGATCATACAGCAATTTCGTCGATATTTGAGCGTCACGTCAGCATCTCTTTAAAAAACTTATTTTTTATAAATTAAAATAAATTTTATTTCGAAAAAATTTAGTTTAGTTTTTCTTATTTTATGACTATATGCATAAACATTATATTATATTATATGCAATATATTATTACATATATTTTATGTGTGTGTGTATATGTGTGTGTGTGTGTGTGTGTGTGTGTGTGTGTGTGTGTGTGTGTGTGCGTGCGCATGCGTGCGGATATTTAATTTAACCATAATTTATGACAAATTTTATTTTTTGTGATAAAAATATAAAGTAATCAATTATTAGAAAATGTATATATATAATCAGAGATAAATAATAACCGATGAAGAAATATTGAACAACAGAAAGTTTGCGCTCTTGCCACTTGATGTCGCAATTGCTTTTGGATTCGTTACTTTCTCTACTCTTATCATTTTCCTGATTGACCTTCTGTTGGAAGTAGCGGAATTCTCGCGTTCTCTCTGTTTTCTTTGCTCTTACTGCTTTCTCTACTTTCGGATTGGCCACTTCCATTATCTTCTTTTCTTTCAGATTCGCTACTTTCATATTATTCTCTTCACTTTCAAATTTGTTTTCTTTACTTTGCTATTTACTTTGCTTTTGAATTCAGTGTTTTCTTTACTCTTGTTATCTTCCTTTTGCTTCCAGATTGACCTTCAGTTGGAACTAGAGGAATTATCATTTCCTCGAACTCTCTTATGACTGGATTTTGATTACGGTTTCAAAATATGGAAATGTAAAAAAAGTTCAATTTTCTTAATTACATAAACACTAATTATATACAGGGTTGGGTAGTAACTAGTTAAAATGTTAAAAGTTAAAAAAAAAAGTTAAAAAGTTAATAACTTTTAACTTAACTTAATTAATTTTAAATGCATTAATTTTTAATTTAATTTAGTTACTTTTAAACTTTAATTTATCAACTTTTTTTAAATTAAAAATGTTTCTATCTCTCTTAATGCTAATATTTTTTTTCTACAAAGTCTTAAACATTAGAGAATTAATTTAGAAAAAGTTTAATGATTTTATGAGAGATCTATAATAAGAGTCAGTATCTCCCAAGAAAAAAAAAGAAATCCCGCCAATTGAAATCTTAATCTGTTAAGGTAATACATTCCATGAAGATCTATCCCCAAAGATATCTCTGAATAAATCTCGATTTCGTGAACCAGATAGTTACTCTACATTATTCCCTATTAACTCTTACTTCCATCCACCTTCAAGTGATTTCCTCGATAGATTACCTATTGTGCTCATTCTCTAATATTCATCGAATTATTCGATGGATTCTATATCCGTTATAGAAGTTCGATTACTCCGCGAACTTTACTCGTCATTCTTCCGTTTACCGGAATCCTCAGATTTTCTTTTTATTTCCTTCCTTATGCAGAGTCTGATAAACTGAAGAGTTCAATACGGCCAAAATTAGACTAGCGTTAATTATTTTAAGATAATTAATTCAGACCGAAGCGAAAAAACCGCCCTGGCGTCACCATCTCTTGACAAACGTGATACACCTATAAAAATTGCTCTCACCTATTTACTTACATTCACTAACATATTAACAAACTGAAACATGGCGGCATCAATCAGAAGAGGAATCGCTTATATCTCGACTCTTACTAGAGTGACTCTAATCTCTATTTATAGGATCTCTACTCTATTCCCTTTTACGGACAATGCGAGACAATGCGAGGCAAAGCGTCTGCTCTAACGTTCTGTCATACTCCATTTTTCTTATTTCTTCTTTCTCTAAATCAACCCATTCATATGTTTGGAGTTTGGACGTAACACAATTATTATAAGGTAAAAATATTAATTACAATATAAATTATATACATTCAGCTCAAAATAAAAACAAATACAAAATTTTAGAGTCAAACGGATTTTGGGATGCATGTAAATCGATCTTTTGGAAGAGTCAAGCGTTTGAAAATAATTGGATAATGTATCCTTATTTGTTTCTTCGGTATACCGCCATACCGCCCGTAACAATTAGCGATGATACATATGCGTCATATATATTTAACAAATAACTAATATTTTTTCATAAGATACCCTGAATATATATGTGATTGAGGTATCATTCATATAAATGAACGTTAATTAAATATTAACACATGGTTTCTTGTTCAAAAGGAGAAAAATAGGGAACTCGAAAGGATATATTTCCATATCAGTTTATTATTACTCCATTTTCAGAATACAGTTAACAATGTTTATTTTTTAGATTACATTTTAAGATTACATTTGTCGAATTGCAACATTTATAGATAATTTACGACTGTAGATGTTTTCAGGGCCACAAGAAGACCAGCTTCCAAGAAATCGTATACTACTTGTCTCAATATCAGCTCACGTTAAATACATATTATGTACAAAGCATATAGCAAGTAAATGCAAATAATTAGTTTTAGATCATATCATATAATAAAGGAAATTCAAACATTATTTGAGATATATATATATATATATATAATAAATAAAAAATGATCTACATCGATATCTGCCATGTACACTAATCTGTCATCTACGCAATAGAAAAAAAATTATAAGATATATGGCAACTTATTACGTTATTCAAATTGTATTATTTTACTTTAAGCTGACAATATATTCTGGCACAAATCCGATTTTGATAAGACCAATGACATTTTCGTGGTTCACTTGTTCAAGGTTTGGCAATCCAAGATCCTTTGAGCTTCCATCTGCAAATGACAATAAATGAATCAAATTTAATAAATCGTGAATGACAATGCATATTGCTCTTACAATCTTTAATATAATTAAATACTTGAAACCAGTGTTGGAAACCAGTGTTGAATACATCTAGATACTTTAGTTATACGTAGTATTCACATCCGACATACGACGTCCAATGTCCAATAAAAAAATTTGTTTTGAAGATAAAAGTGTCACTAACTAAAACCGAATTCTCTTTTTGGATATTGTATCGTCGATATGCATTGTGAATCTTACATAAGTGAATTACTTAAATCCTTATAGACAGAGTTATCTATATCTGTACTTGGATACTCTTTTGTATGATATTTTTTAAGTTTAGATACGTAAGTACAAGGTATTTATTTATACATGTTATGTCATTATTAGAAACTTAATTTTTATTGATTGTTATATATTATTGTTTTTTTCTAATTCTCGATTTTGCGCAAGTGCTTTTATTTGCTTTATCGCTTAGGCTAATTTTAGTTCTTAGTATTTAATGAGAATGGTGACTAAAGATAATTTCATAAAAAGAGAGTGGCAAACTGACCACTTGACGCGGTTTTCCTGATTGGTCCCAAGTACCAAACTTATTACGAATGTAGGAAAAATCGCAATTCGTCATGTTAGTAAGTGGTATTGTTTTGTAGTTTCTAAATTTTTATCATTATAAGTTGAAAATTAAGCTGAAACTTAGTTTTTTTACTTATTTATATCTTTATCAAAAGACTTAGAATTTTTTTCATTTCAAACAAAGCCAAGCTCTAAAGATTCAAATTAAAAGAAAAAATTAAGATATTTTATAAAATGCGATAGTCCATCGAGGTGACGTATATGTACTTATAATTTGCATTATCTAAACATTTCTGTATGTACTATAAGTAATAATTTTATATAAAATAAAACTTGTTTATATAGCTTGTTATATTCCTTTGAACAAATGCTTTTTATTCACACTCCAGATATCATGACAAAAATTTCAGATTTATTATAACACACTATTAGAGAATGACTATCCTCCTGAGTTTATTTTAATATAACTATAAATTCAAAATTAAAATCGTTATTTTATAAACAGAAAAATACAAAATATGTTTCCGAACAAGAACACACATCTTGGTTTTTATTATACCTTATATTCCTCAATTTCAAATAAATTTAAAAACATTACTCACTGCGTTATCTGAATGTGAAATTAGCATTTTATAGTTTGAATGAACTTGGAAAAGTATCATTAAAGTTTACAAAGACGTTTTTCCAAAAGACAGCCATAAGAATGTAGTGTATAAAATATCTTGCAAAAATTGCAACGCGACTTATGTGGGATTGATAGAAGGTTAAAAACTAATAGAATACAAGAATATTAATGTCACAATAACAACTCCAGTTTCACAAAGTTAGTTAATTATTGCAGATATCATAAAATATCTTATAATCATGAATTCGATTGGGAAAATGTCAAGATATAAGATCGTGAGTTTTATGGAAAGACGATTGATATTTGAGATTATTATTTGCAATAAATATAATTATGAAATGTTTACTTTTTTTTTTATTTCTTAAAAAATATATTATTTTTTATATCTTAGACTGCATTCCGGTGGTTATTATCAGCGTTGAAAATCTAATTCATATATATTAGGTGTTGGAATTAATTCGTAGCGTTTTTAATGAAAGAATGTTATTTATTTCACATGAGCATTAAAAAATACATTAATGAAAGTACTTCCCATCACTTGTAAAACGCTACGAATTAATTCCAACACCTAATATATATACTATGAATTTTCAGTACTGGAAATGAATTTTAAAGTACATTTTAAATAAGATATTAAAATTTAAAAATAATATTTAATTTAAATTCGGTAATTGTTGAATTTAACTCCCAACAATTGTTTCTGCCAGATTCGGTCGTTTTTTTGTGCAAAAATGCATCGAATGATCCAATTTTATCAACATCATATGCAAGAAAACTAACTTATGAAATTTCCCAAAAAGTAACGAAAAAGTTACTTTTTCAAGTAACTTTTATAATGCGTTATTTTCTAAAATGTGTAACTAGTAACAATAACGAGTTATTTTAAAAAAAAAAGTAACAGTAACGCGTTATTTTTCTAACGTTCCCAACTCTACTCTTCACAACAGTATCTGTTCCAACATTGCTTGAAACAATATTTGCACGATGATTTATGATCAACAACAATTATATCGAAACGATAAATCTTCCATAATTAGAATTAAAATAATTAAGAAATACACAAGAAAACCAATCGTGTTCTTACAATGATAACTTTTTATAACGATTTATTAAATTTTTTAAAACTTTGAGAATTAAAACTTTCATTTTTATAGCTCATACCTGTATAAACGAATATAACTTTAATAATTGTTCCAGCGATGCACCTTGCGGCGAACAATCCATATTACTCGATCTAATTCGCGTATCTTGACTCCTTTTACCTTGGCCCCACCCGGTAGAAAAATTTAACTGAGCTTCACCGTCCGCAACAAGGATTAAGAAAAGAAATGCTATACCAAGTAAACTCATAGACATCTTACAGAACCTTAAAAGAAATTATATACCATGTTACTGTATAAATAACGAGAATTATTGTACTTTCGTATAAAATTATTAACTGTAAATCCCGACTCTCGGAGATAGTAATAAATTGAATTTATAATATGGTAAATAAATGATCAATATTTATGTAGTTTTAAATATTTATTAATTTTGTTACATTATAAATATTTATAATGTAACGAAATAATAATGTTTATAAATATTACGTTATTATTGCAATAATAAAATATTTTTGAATGTTTATACGACTAACACCGTGGATGCGTTAAATATGCATGAGATGTTATGCGTATGTAAAATATACTCAAAGCTAAGAATATTTCTTGAAGGAAATCCCATATACGTTCATAATAATGTAATCAAAAATACTAGCTATATGCAACCTTTTATAAGAGAAAGAAATTTATAAATTCTCTAAAAAGGAATTTTAAAACAAACTATTAATTCACAAAAAAAAATTTTTTTACACTTAGTATGAAATTTAAATAAAATTTGATCTCCGATAAAATAAAATATGCTTCTAGAATTTCTTTTTCTTTGTATTAATAACTGCGTTTGCTTCAAGCACTTGTGTTATTTGCGTATCGTCAATTTGATATTCATTGTGAGCAAACTTGACTGCTTGTAACGAGCCAAAATAATCGCACTATTCCCACAGGAAATGAGAAGAAAATAAAAAGCAAAGAAAAGAAAAAGAAAGACTCACATGATAACACTTTTTTTTACAGATAGATATACAGAATGGTCTAATTTTTGTTAAAGATAACGCACACAATGCCGATGTGCAAGAGAACTCGTTTACGAGAGTCCTTAGATGCGGTTGCTGGTTTTATACATTACTGGACCCCTTACTTTAACGCGCGCGCACATTACAACATCTCGATATACTCGATCGCTATCCCAAGAGGGATAATGAAAATTCTGCGCCGGCGTTAAGCAAGTTTCATTTTGCAAACTGTCCTGGAGATCATTTCTCGTGCGATTCTAGCACAGAGTCAAGGCGCTAATTGAGATATAAGAGATTGTGAATAATATGCTACAAAGATAAATTTAAAGATATAATTTATGATCGTGATATTCGTTATAATTTTGGTTGCGACTTTATTATTTTGCGGAGTCGTTAATTGTTTTCTGTGTGCACTCGTATGCGTAATAATAATTAGTATATGTCGAGTGTAATATCGATGAAATTCTACCACGTTATAGCTAAACCAAAATGAATATTAAATATTTATTTGCTACATTTGCAATGATATCAAAATATGAAATTATATGGTCTTGATATCACTTTTTTTTAACGATCTTTATATATAAAAGGACTTTCGTACAATTCAGAAAGTAATAATGTTATATAAAAAAAAAAATAAAATAAGTCAGAGGCGTAGAATAAGATACAATATGTTATTTTAAAAAGAAAAATTATTTTGAAAATTGGAGAATTAATAATATATAGAAAATTTTACAGAGTATTAAAGAAAGGATTCGAGATTTTTCGCTGTTTGCTTCATTGTTTTTCCCTCAATTTTATATATTTATTACTAAAAAAAAAAAGAAAAAATTTATTAAGACTGATTTACGTACATATGCAATATAAAAGATTAATATTGAAATAATATTTTCAAAATATTTCAACTTTATGCAATCAAAGCGCAAGTTGGCTATTGATACAATCTTATATTACTTGATTAAACTTGTAAGAAAATTAATCAAGGATTAATCTTGCAAATTTTTTTATTGTTATCAAATCATTGCAACAACAATTATTATTAAGATGTTATACGTGTGCATATAAAGAGAAAAGCATTTCAATTGTGCACATTTTACATTAGCTTTATAATAGGAAATGGAAAGCGTTATCGATACGCATCTTGATGTAACAGCTATTTCTTTTTAAAAATGGTGTCTATTATTTTTTTTAAATTATTGTACACAGGTGTCATCATTGTGATGTGTATGATTATGTCTAAAGAAGTAAACTGTACTGTTTGCGTCATTTGTTGCTAAATTAAATTAGTGCGTGCGACCGTGACGCTCGAGGGCTTCCAACTAATTTGTTAACGAGGGACATAGCAGGATGTGAAGCCTCACCGATTATTTCATCAGTCAATATTACATATCCAACAAAGTACATTGAATTCTCGTGACGATATCGTCGTACGATCATATGTCGTAATGTTAACAAATTACTATTTTAAAAAATGTACTCTTATACATATAAAAAAAAACTTTTTGTACAAGCGCACATTAATGGGGTGATTAAAATAGGAAAATGTATATTCGAATTTTACTTTATTGCTACAAAAAAGAAGTTACATATAACGAGCTAAAGATGAATCGAAGAAAAAGGATAATGCGCTCATATGCGTTGCCGTCGATTATCACATATTAAATGGTTCATGATAGTTCTTATTTTTCTAAATAATGTACAAGCTTGTGTACACGCGTACACGTTATATTTATCGCGTATATATATATTTTTTTAAATATCTAATTATTTGAATTTTTTACAGAACGTTTTTATTAATGTGTAGACATTGTAAGATCCAATTAAGATTTAATTATTAAGATCGTGTCAAAAAATTCCTGATTTTCCTCTATCTTAAAGGCAGTGTCGAATAAACATTTATCAACAGTATTCGTGAACTCTTTATATTTGATGACCTATTGTTCAATTCTGTGAATAATAGAAATGACAGTTACAGATGTATGAAACTAGTGAGGAATAATGCTAATTTTTTTACAATGCCGTGTGAAGTGTCGTACAAATTTCACGGACAAGTCTCTTTAAGGATCTTTTTTAACAGGTGTGTATATAAGAAAAACGCTTGTTCGCAGAAAATTACAAAATTCTTATGTTCTTGCACACATAATGAGCTAATATCATTAATGGAATAATTCAAAAAATCGAGCAATATTTAGCAATTATTATCAGTTGTTGCCTAATGGATTAATCTATTACAATTATTATTATCCTAATTTTTATCATATAAACTTTAAATTGAAGTAACATCTTTGAACAACGCTTGCCAAATATCGTCTCAGTGTAAAAAAGAAGTGAACAACACGGCAGTGCGCAAGAGTTAAATTTTATATATAACTCTTGTTATGTATAGATCTGTTATATTTTATCCATTTCTCATCTTAATCGTCGTTCAATGGCAAATCCCTAAATAAAATTCATAGAACATTCCTAATAAAGGAACGTTCGAAATCTGCTCTTCAACTCTTGAGATCACACGCGTCCATCTAAGTTACGTTTCTTATCATATACATATATTATATCTATACGAATTAGATTTCACGATATGTACTAATACTGCGCGGTACGTTGAGTTCTTTCCAATATTCGATTAATAAAAAGCAAATACCGATGTTCATTTTCGATACCTTTTGTAAATATTAAATTATGACTTTTGATTGTGATTGCTTTTATGAATAAAATAAGTTATGACCAATTTTTTCTTAAGTATAAAAACACAATTTAACATTTCTCGGTTATTTATGCACACAATGAATGAATTATTGAGAATTTACCGAATATAATTATATATATTATATATACAAACTTTATGTATCAAAAAGGATTTGAACTTCCTAAAGGATATATCTTCTGGAAAAATTCTCTAGAAATATATTTCTAGAGAATATTATAATATTCATTTTATTACAATAGATACGTATATGTATAGTAAACCTCATGATAAATATCAAAATACATTCAATAAACGTTCCTTCATTGTATTTATTTATTTGTCAAAGAATTATAAAAAATGGTAAAAATTAGCGCACAAATAACCGAAGAATATTTGTATGAAAATATGTCTCAACGTAACCACATGCAGGTAATATACATATATATGTGTGTGTGTTGTGTGTTTTGTCACTTTTATTATATATAAGAACCTTAAAAATAATAGTATGCATGTATACCTAAATACTTGTCAATTGGCATGAAGATATAGCAAAAATGACAGTGTTAATAATATTAAAGTCAATGAAGAATACGAAGAACATATGACAAAGATGTGCTACGTTGTCCCAAAGCTATTTGCGAGCCGTGATACACAATGATCTTATTAGTATGAGTTATTATTTATGGAATAAAGAGAAAGATTAATGTTCAAAGCGCGCTATGGCACTCGATCTTCGTTCATGCGTCGTTTCTTCGTTTGTTTATACTTGGATACAGTTGCTTATAACGATAAAGCCTTACTGACGGAACAACATTACGAACAATCTTGCAATGAGAATAATCTTTTCGATTCTTATGAGAAGTATACACGTAATAAAGGGTAAATATACCCAAAATTGTTTGCACTATACTAATAGATTCAAACAGAATATTGCACCAGATTGCTAGCGGAAATCGAGCACATCGTCTTTCGTAACCATTTAAATAGTATGTATATGTACCATTTTCCTGCAATCAATCTGCTTATATTCTGTTAATTTTGTTACATTTCTGTTACTATTTTGCCAATAAAATTTGTAGTAGACTTGGCTGTCTGCATATGTATATGTACGTGTATATATACAATATACAATATGCTTATATATATATGCATAATTACACATGCATGCACGCACGCATGCATGCACGCATACATATATTTTCATTTTGCAATATATATTGAATATAACAATACGTATGCAATATTGTATGCGTTCATTTTGATAATAGTGATGATATCATTACGCTTGTGGCATCATACATCATATGTATCTTCTTTCTCATTCATACATATGTAATTATTAAAATGTTATATAAATTAAAAAAACAGAAGAGTGGCGCTATATATTTTTTATTCTCATAAGAAGACTTGTCCATATTCTTTTACAATTACCTCATTGATCGCATTGATTATTCAGTTTTCTTTTATATCTATATATATATCTCTCTCTTTATATATATTTTTTTACATAATATACGTATAAAAAATAGTCTAGAAACCTTGTAACTTGATGATTGCCAGACTCAAGAATGCAGATCTATTGACAAAAATTATGTTCTCGTTGTAGACTTGATTACAAAATCGTGACGTTTTTGACGTTTCATAAACTGATGTTATTCGATTACAATCTCTTTGCTACTGGAATGTAATGTAATATTTGAAGCTAATAATGCAGGCGAGTGTTTTCTTGAATCTGGAAATCAGCATATTTTACGTAAGTTACTCAAGTTTTCATAGACGGCGAGTTCTAAAGTCAGTCACATAGCATTTCGTTGCTATTACATAATTGTAAAAAAAATATTAACAAAAATAGACAGTAGCTCTTTCTCTTGTTCTAACTTGATGAATGAATAATTTAAAAAATTGATTTAATACTTTGCCAATTTGTGCATAGCAATATCTTTTTAATTTAAACAAAAAAAAAGCAACTGTACAATACAATTTGTACATGACATTTCTACACTTCTGGTTACTAAAAAAGCTTCTAATGACTAAAAACCAAAGAATTTGAAAGGAAAAAAAGAGCAGATTTATATGAATATATTTAGCTTTATCATGTTAATTTTCTTTGATTTTTATTTCGAAAAACTTAACAAAAATTTTGATAGTTTTTCTTTATCATTTTGTATATTATTCTTCAATAATAAGTAATTACTGAACAAAACAATTGGCGAAGTATTAAGCCGTTTACATAATACAATATTTATGCCAGTACATTAAAAATACCAGGACGGTATTCTAACAAATGGAGCATCGCTTATTGTAATTTGTCAAAATGCAAATGCCATAAATATATTAAATAATTAAGTTAAAAATAAAAAAGGAGAGAAT